TATATATATATATATATGAGCAACCACGTTTATTTAGGCTTTACTAAAGTAGTCTACGGCATGCTCTATTTGTTTGTCTATCATCAGTATTTGCTTGTGAACGAGATAGGGCCCCCACACAAACGAGATACCTTGCTTGATGTCACTAAAGCAATCTGAACGAGATAGTGTGACTTGCTACTAAAGTAGTCTGAACGAGATACTGTGACATGACCTCCTGCTTAAGTAGTCTAAACGAGATAGGGCCCCCCCACATAAGAGATAGTGTATTTGAGCTAAGTACCAAATAAATGCCGTCGCACACATATATTATATATATGTGGCGTTTTTCACTTCAAAGTAACTGTTTGTCATATACCAAACGGTTCATGGTACAGGACATTGGCATTGAAGATGACTTCGACGTGGACTCCGAAGACCTCGACGGCGAGCTGATTGATGCATTACTAGAAGTTCTCAAAGGCGGCACTGTGCAGTTTTGGATAGTCTTGGTGGTCAGGCTGATTCCAAGTTGAAACCATTTGCGGCAGAGCGAGAGGCCAGAGGAACAGATCTAGTGTTCGATCTACAAAATTACGTTCTTGGATGGTTTTGGGAAGTTGTCGAAGGAGTTTAAACACCGTCCTGGATGTCCAGAGTGGGACAGGTAATATGGTTGTCCAGCGAAGGTTTTGTTTGTGGTGCCGCAATGGCAAGTCCATGTTGCAGGTGATGCTGCTCGATGTAAAGAGACTTGTCAAGCACTGAGATTGATTTCACATATATTATATATGTTGCGCTTCTGGAGAGGGGCCAAATGGTTTCACCATGGTTTCGCCACCGGGTTGAAGCGGGAGAAGCTGGGTGTTGGCTCCCATCTTAGATGGCCAACCTGTCAGAGAAGACATGGCTCTAACCATGTGAGCCAAGGAGCTGAAGCGCATTCGTCGCATGGGCGCTGTAGAGCAGAAGGTTGCTTTGAGAGCACAGCTCAAGATGCTCAGCCCGGAGGTGGGGTCAAGGTTGGCTTTTTGATGCTTTTTGAATCTCTTGGACCTTGGATAGACTTGCAGAGATTGGGATTGGCTTGTTTGAAGGAGGCAGTACCAAGATGTACCAAGTTGTTTACGTAACTCTTTGGGCATGAGTGGCTGGACAGCTGCTGCTCTCATTTGCCTCCATTTGCTGAAGTGCCTCGCTTTAGGACTTTAGGCTTCGGCAAGTGCTTCGGCAAGATAGGAATGACCATGCTTGGGATCACCCAACTTGCTTGCTTCCCCTGTAAAATCTGAGCGGCAGGAGCGTGAAGCGCTGGTGGGATCCGACTCTGAAAGCCTGGAACCCGAGGGCTGGAGAAAGAAAGAGTGAGCCTGTGAAGGTCTGGCCCCCTTCCTGGAGTGTGTTTAGCGGCTTAGCGGTAGCGGCTCTTTGGCACTTCCTAACGATCCACTTGATTGATTTTGATTGTTTGTGACTGTTCTGCAGCTAGGTGACCAAGAGGAAGAGGCCCGGGCTGCCAGGAGTATATATATATATTATGTATATAGATGTGGTTCTTGATGTATGTTCGGGGAGCGTGCTGGTCGTCTCAAGTCTAACCATTTGTGCACTGTCAGCTTAGTCACGTCAGCTTTACATTGGTTGTGGAGGTCAGTGTCCTCTCAACCAGAACGACAACGTAGAGATGACACTTGAGCCAAGACAAGATAAGGTAGGCACGGTAGGTGTACACACATATATATATATATGATTATATGTGTATATCATATACTGTAGTAGCCTAAAACTGCTCCCAGAACCGCAGTTGTATTTGATGCTTCGTATTGCACCCTTCGCCGTCACAGTGCATGCGAAGTGAGCTGTGCCGGCTAGCAAGACGAGGCCACAGCAGCCTCCGTGAGCTTGCCAAGCAATCGCTGTGGGAGAGAGCTTTGGCCGCTGTGCTGCAATCGAAGCAGCGCTATGCAGCCTCTGCTGGTATCACAGCTGCTGGTGGGTCCAGTCACTGGCAAGCAGCCCTCCTTTTGTGGGAAGCAGCAGCCGAAAGAGGCGGTATTTCTGCAACAAATGCCACGATCGCGGCACTTGGGCGGGCCTTACAGTGGGAGTTGGCAACTAAGATTTTGATGCGGAACGAGGCAGGTGTTGAGGGATATTCGTCTGCGCTCTTCACGGCTGGCCAGGTTTCGGCTTGGCACCACTGCCTTGCACTGTTGACGGAGATGCATCTCCACAGAGTGCAACACAATTCCCCGCATTGGAGCGCTACAGCATCTGCATGTGGGAAATGCTTCATGTGGGAAAGGGCCTTGGACTTGATCTCATTTGTTGATGCTAGAGGTCGCGTTCCAACGGAATTTGCCACTGCCATACTAAAAGCCTTGCAAGTCTCTCATCAGTGGGAGCAAGCTGTGCTTTCCTTGAGCAGCTTTGGCACACCTGAACTCGTCTCTACAGTGGCTGAAGCATGCCAACACGGTCATGCTTGGGAAGCTGCCTTGAGCATTGGAGCACTTGAAGCTGCTATGTGGGCTTCCGCTGCTGAGTCACAGTGGCAACAAACCTTGGCGCTTTTTGACACCACCAAGCTTGTCAAGAGTGACCCGGCCACCATACTCAGCGCCTTGGTGAAATCCGTGCAATGGCAAAGGGCTCTCCAGCTGCTCGAAACACACGATGGCGGAGCTGCCAAACTCACCAAGGTCATCCGGCGCAGTTTGATTCGAGCTTGGGGAGCTGGGCATCACTGGAGGTCTGCCCTCACAGGTCTCAACTCGAGATTCGACGACCCGTGGGCTGTGAGCAGCGCCGTGTGTGCCTGCCAGGCAGCAGGGCAAGAAGAAGTGGCACGCAACCTCCTGTCGCAATGCTTTGAACAAGAACGACAAAAACGGCCTCACCGCAAGGAGTTGCAGCTGCTGGAGCATCTTTTGTCATTGAAGCACACTCTTACAGATACTGCACGTCTTCTGAGTGCAATTGAGGACTTTGCGAAAGAGAATCGCTGGCTCAAGGTAGCCGGTGAGGATAAAAGCCGAGTGTTCCAGGCGGTCATTAAACCCAGTGACCAAGTGCTGGAACTCGGGACTTACTTTGGCTTCTCGGCTCTTCTCATTGCACAGCTCGGCTGCCAGGTCACAACTATTGAGGCCGATCCCTTCAATGCAGCTGTGGCCCAGAGGATTCTTGATTTGGCAGATGAGTGCTGTCCTTCCGGCGCCGCAAAGCGCGTGACAATACGTGTTGGTCGAGCAGCAGACTGGCTCTCCTTGGGAAACTTGGATCCGGTGGATGTCCTAATTCTGGATCACCGTGGTACCATCTACCACGAGGACTTGCGCATGGCGGAGCCCCTCCTTCGACCTGGAGCACGTGTCCTTGCAGACAATGTCCTGCATCCTGGGGCGCCATTCTTCGTCCACGATGTGAGAGACAGGTACTATGTTCAGGTTCATGCGTTGGAGGAGTTTGGAATGCCAGAGCTTGAGGACTGGCTATTTGTTTGTCAGCCCAAGTCATGGCCATTACCGCAATCTCCGGCCAAGCCAGCGGAGTTGAGACGCTGGAATGCTGAGGTGAATAAGAGATGTCATGACAGCCAGCTTGGCGCAGTTGACTGGCAAGAGCTACAAAGCCGCTTGAGGCCTTTGCTGCTTGACATGCTGGATGAAAGGGCCGAAATCATAAACTGGAAAAAGCATGGCAACTGGTGGCAGCAAGCAGGCAAATGCATGGTAAGAACTGCATGCTGCATGATCATGTGCTGTCATGCCATCTCACTCTTATAGATTCTAGATGTTCTAACTTTGTTGACACTTGATAGGTGCAGGCACCTTCTGTGAAGCTTGCTCCGGTCCGTTTCCTCAGCTTTACATGCTTTACCCCATTATATGCCTGCATCTTTGACAGTTACAATTAATCATTTGAACTTGATTTCCTAGCATGTTCTGGTTCTTCTGATGAAAGAACTTTCAGGCAGCGGCAGATTTGCTTCATTTCTATCATCCCTCAGTGCAGCCGAGAAGTCCCACGGTGAATCTCCCTCCTCACCGCAATTTCTCAAGCCAAAGGCAATATGACCAGCTCAGCCGCATGCAATATGACCAGCTCAGCCGCATGCTTTCCCAGGCTCAGATCGAGTGTTCTGCCGGGCACGAGCTGACAGCTTTCTCCGCAAGACCACCCGATTATCGGAAGTTTGACGGACCGCCAACTGGGGTTGGCTGTTTTGAAAGATTGTGAAGGACATGGTAGAACAAGAACGGCCTAAATTTCTCAGATCAAAGGTGCAAGCTTCTGCGCAGCACAAGTGCATATCTTCATCCATCCATCAAGACTGGCTTCAAGAACACCAACTCATAGACTCATAGACGACAAAACATGACAAGGAAAGCGAACAAATAAAACCAAATCACCCCCCCTAACCCTCAAAACTGGGGGGGGTGAGGACCTCTTAATGGGTAACTTACATTTTTTTGGTGGTAAAAATGTAAGCTGACCCCCCCCCCATGCAAAAATCGATATTACGTTGAGGGGGGATCCCCCCCAGGAATTCCTACGGAATCTCTAGAACTACAGTCAACGACGGTCCCCCCCCCAAGATTTGGCGTTGTACGGGAGAATATCCAGGTAAGATTCATAACATTCCCAGGAATGACTGAGACCATAAGCATACAACGGTACCAAAAACCGGATGCGGGGGAGGGGGGGGCCAAAATGTAACATACCTTTTCTGAGCCCCCGCCCACTTCAAACCCTATATAATTACTGGTCCCATGAGAGTTGGGACTTTACGGTCAGTTTTTAAAAATTGCTTTTGAGATGAGTTAGGAATTAAGTATAGTCAAACATGCACGAAACACCTGAGAAAGGATATTATGGATGACAAATGCAAGTCATACCCCTGGGTAACAGTGGGTGTCCGCGGGCAATGAGTTAGGAACAAAAGTGGTGTCGAAGGTAAAAAAGACATCTTTGCAGTTTATTGAAGATTATACTGTATAAATTATATACACATTTCCATATCCAAGTTTCCGTCCTAGAATTTAAGCCACAGTATGCCCGCGGCAGCTCCAGCATTCCATTACTAGTTCATGCGCACATGAGTTGGGACCAAAGTGCTAGCTTTTGCACAGGTATGCAAGTTTATGCTGCCAGGAAACGGTTAAGACTTAGCAGATGAGTTGTGCTCGACCAAACGACCAGGGCATGTTCCACAACTCCCAACCCACTGGGGACCAGTATAATTTGAGGGGGGTGATCAAATGTAACTTTGAAAAGGAGAGAGACAGAAGAACAGGCACGTGTCCATGGATTCATTCTCCAGTAGAGTAGAAGAGAAGCAAAAAACAAGTAAAGGATGATATGCACACATGTACCCAAGCATAATTCATGCTTATCGTGATTTTTGGAATCTGTGCGAATCATGTCAAAGATGGTAACCTCCAAAAATGTAAGCTACATGTTTGGACGCCCCTAAACCGGTGGTATGTACCTAGACATTGAAAGTCAACATATGAAAACTACAGAAGTAACGATGCATATGGGAAAAAAACAGTCAATGAGTGCGCATGCAAGGCCCCCTACAATCGAATGGTAACTGAGAACTAAGGAGGATATAAAGAAAGAAGCCAGCAGTAAAATGCAGTAGCAGATTCTCACGAGCGGCTCTGTCAGGAAGCGGGTAATGGTCCTAGGGCCCATTGGTATCCAGGAAGAAGGAAGGAAATGCAGAAAAGAACGGGAAGAGAAGGAAGAACGGTCTAGAGTAAAAAAGCAGAAAACACAGAAAGGCGGTAAGAAAATGGAACCTCCAAAAATGTAAGCTACATTTTTGGACGCCCGTAAACCGGTGGTATGTACCTAGACATTGAAAGGCAACATATGAAAACTACAGAAGTACCGATGCATATGGGAAAAAACAGTCAATGCGGGCGCATGCAAGGCCCCTACGATCGAATGGTAACTGAGAAGGAGGACATAAAGAAAGAAGCCAGCAGTAAAATGCGGTGGCAGATTCTCACAAGCGGCACGCTTTTTCATTTGCTTCACATCATCAGCTTACATTTTGTTTCCTTTCATGCACTCAGTGCACATATCTCCCAGCCTGAATAAGTGTAACTTACATTTTCTTTAAACATGTAAGCTGAAGAAAGGGGAGGTTCCCATGTTGGCTCATTTGCACGCCTTAAACAGTAAAATTACAATTTTAAGGTGCGCCCTCGTTCTACCTTAAAAATGTAATATTGCTGATTATTGCTGTACATTTTTAAAGTCAAAACCATAGGAAAATGTAAGTTACACATTAGGAGGTCTGCCCCTGCAAAGGGGCGGTGATAAAACAAACATATTTGCAGAGTGGAGGCCTGCTGACGTGCCTTGTGCATGCGGTTGTAAAGTCGCGTCGGCAAATGCAACCCTGACCTTCCCTGACCTGTGGGCAGGAGACGAGTATACCTGCGATGTGTGCGGCCAGGATGGCGAGTATCGCTATGGTGTCTACCATTGCACGAAGTGCTTCCAGCAAGGACTGGGATGACGCGGTTGCTGCACCAACGTCCTTCAAGAACGCCGGCAAATTCCTTCCATTAGCAGCGGCCTCCAACCTAATTTAATTTGACCAATTTCTCAAGTCCATCCTTAGCCTTTGAATCTAGACGGTTTGCATTTGCCTTGGCTGATAACGAGAGATATATTATAGGTTGAGCAGTGTTCCCTGATCACTGGCGCCGTTTGTTTGCTTCAGGCGGCCGGCAATTTGATGCCTGCCCATCTTGCGGAGGGCAGAGAAGCAGCGGAAAGACCAAGGGAAAAGCCAAAGCAAAAGCTGGAAAGAAACGCTGAAAGAAAATGGAGCGTTGCTGACAAGCTGACTGGAGCGACTAGGGCTTCTGTTCACAAGGTTTAGTCTTGCTAGGGAGGGCGCCCGTTGCAGTTGCACCATTTCGTTTTGAGCTGTCGGTGTCTTTCGTAAATGTGCTGCAGCCATATCAGATGCTCCAGGTGACTGGATCTTAAATTGTCGAACATATCTACGGCACGCCTGGGGGGCACTATTGGGCCTTTCGAATGCCACTCAGACCTTGCACAGCAACAACTAGGCCAACTAGGCACCAAACTAAGCCAGAAATGTGCATTGCCGCATGGCTTGTAGGAAAGCTTTGAACCGGGGGTGTTGACAAGCAGGTCACATCAGGCTGACGTAGCGAGAAAGCGGCGACAGTCTCAGTGTCATGTCAGTGCCAAAATTCAAGGCCCGGTGCCCCACGGAAGCGCCCCATGTTGCAAATGGTGTTCGAGAGACACGCAATACATAAAGTAATCCAGTCCGCCTATTAAAAAACGCGCCTCCCCCCCCTAATAAGGAAACCTCGGTCGCATTTTTTTAAATAGGGGGCCCCTGAAATCGTGATGGTGCAATACAGGGTCACCTGGAAAGGGTTTCAAAACCAAAAAGTAATCCAGGACAATTTTATATATAGAATCCTTTATTAAACTCGTATCAAAAATGCAAAAAAACCTCCAGATCGAAGGGTCTTCCTTTTTCCCTACAAAAGCCTTCATTAGAATTGAATAGACTAACAGCTAAAGCTTTCGAAAGGTGATGTCGCTGTGCCATGCGGTGTTGCATGACCTCGGTGGCAAGAGCGTTTGCGTGTGTCCGTGCCATTGGGGGAAGGAAAGCCTGCTGGTGTAAGCGCGGCGTGTCATGGTGGATGGACAGGCGGACAGAGGTGGGCAGTTACGGTTGTTTTGGGAACCTAACAAGAAAAACTTCCAAAATTGGCCATGTTGGTAGTTTAGTAGGCTTGAAAGGGCGGTAATTTATTTAAACACAAATATAAACCGTACTTAGGGGGATCCGACATGATTTTTTTGATAGGGGTCCGTTTTTTAATAGGTACTCGGGCTTAATAAAGATGCAGTCTTCGGATGTGTTGGTTTTAGACACTCTCATACGGAAGAGGATGGACTTACACGGCGCGTATGTGAAAGCCATGTGAAAACTTGTGCCTGTTTCTTCTATATATCTCAGCAAAGTGGGGTGATGAGCGCATGCAAAAAGAGAGCAGACAGAGAAACAAGTCCAGGCTATATGCTCAAGTTGGGATTGGGGACCGGCTGTTAACAAACACTCCTTGCCCCAGAATTTTGTTTTTTCTGCTCAGCAAGACAAACAGAACACTTTGTGACAATTATGCGCAGTCTACTTAACTTGGTGGAAGCCATGTCTTGAGTAGTCTTGAGCTCATGTTTCCCCCCAGCTGAGTTCGCGCTTAGGTTGTTCTTGTTGGAGACCAGTCCGTTGGCAAGACAGCGCTTGTTTTGCCTGGTGCCCCCAGTTCACTGGATGAGTGGTTTTGTCTCAGGAATTGGGTTGCCTCTTGAGTTGGCTTGGTGTGTTGGTGTGTTCAAAAAGTGTCTTCTTGAAGTCCTGAAACTGTTACTCGCTACTTCTTGAAGTGACTGACTGTTTGAAGTGACCATTCAGTGGCTTGCCCGAGGGAGGGGCATTCAGAGGAGTGACTTATCAATGTCCACATTCCATTTGTGATCATGCCAAGGCGTTATCTCAAGAACACATTTGATGAGAAGGCGCCGATTCACAATGATGACTGCCCAATCGATCATTTAGCCACCCAGGTAGGATTTGATGTGTTCCTGAGATTCAAGGAAGAGAGAGAGAGAGAGAGAGACACTTGTGGCAGGAGACACAGAATTCTTGAATCCTCCGAGCTCTCGACAGGTCGAGACGACCATTGGCATGGATTTTCAGACAAAGACTGTGCAGCTGCTGAATGGAAGCCGTTCTCCTGGTTTTGGGAAGCAATGATGTGGGGTATCGGGTATCGGCACCAGACATCAATGGAATGCCGCAAATGCGCACCAGGGCTGCTGACCAAATGTACGAGCAAAGTCCAGGATCGACGCCGAGGTCCAATAAGGCTGCAGCTCTGGGATACGGCTGGTCAGGACAGACTCACTTGCAACTTTGCAACTGGTCAAACTGGCTGCTTTGAGTGTGGCCAGCTGGCCCTGTGGCCCGTTGCTGTTGAATGTGTGCTGGTCAGCTGGTGGACGCGGGGACGGTGTCCCAATGTGTCCCATGGCTCCAGGAGCGCTTCCGCAGCCTGGTGAGTGGCTACATCCGGGATGCTGCTGCAGCCATTGTTTGGCCTGGGATTCTAGCTCTCCTGGTTTGCACTGAAGAGTTGCATAGCTATAGGCTCACAGACTCACAGATGCCATTTCTGTGTTCCACTTGAGCACTAACTGCAGCAGTGTCTTCCTTCATAATGACCTTATCAGATCATTACATAGCATGGTTTCAGCAAGAATTTTGCGTCGTCAGTTTGGGTTTGTTGGTGTCAATCCAGGTCGCCCTTCTGAGGCGTCCTTAACATTATATACATTTAATTTTTTCTTTTAGGATTCTTTCCGTTCCCAGTCCGGGTTTGTTGGTCGTTGGCATTTGTTTAATGAAGTGAGAGCTGAGTTACGACATCACCAGTCGTCAATCCTTCGAGAGCACCACGCAGTGGATTGAGGCGTTTTTGGCGGACGACGGCGCGCAGTTTTTGTGGGGTTAAGCCACAGACCCCCTCAAGCCATGGAAGGTCTATTATGTTTGGTAGAGGGTTGGGCCAGGGCTTTTGAACGGTTTTGACTTGCAACCATTTTATAGCCCTAGCCAATCGATGAGATGAGATACAAGGTGGCTTGCGGCACGGTCTAACAGTGTTTGGAACCGATGCCCACAGATTAGCTTCCCGACATGTTCGATGCAGGAAGTGCGGCAGTCGCGAGGGGAAGAAGTCCTTGTGTACCTGGTTGGGACCAAAGTGATGTCCTCGGAGAAGATGTCTCGGAAGAGTGAGACGTGAAGTGAGAAACAATAAGCTACTAGGAACAAGTGCATCGCTTCTAGTAACAAGTGCCTTACTAGTAGTAACAAGAAGCTAGTAGAAACAAGACTTAGTAATTAGAAGACTTGTCACGCCATTTGGCTCCAAAAGTCCGGATTCCAACTCTTGGAGATGCCCACTCGCCCAATCCAATATGGCTTTGCTTGGACCATGCATTACCATACACGAACAGATGATTTGCACTCAATTTTCCCACCTGGCCACCTGGCCTATGTATATGAGATACCTGTTTTATCCTGTTTTGATCCTGGTATTATAGTAGGCTGTAGGGTTTGGATGAATCATTTGCGCCTCTTTCCTGGCCGCTTCGCAGCTATGGAATCTCGCAAGAGGGCCCGGAGCTTGAAGATCGAAACTGTTGCAGTACATGGAGGAGATCAACATGATCCAGGTCATGGCGCAATCTTTCCGCCCATCACCACCGCCACAAGCTTTGTTCAGCCCAACTTGGGAGAGGAAGGTCGCTTTGCATATTCGAGGTGTGGCAATCCCACCAGGAATGCCTATGAGACTGCCATTGCAGACCTTGAGGGTGGTTGCTGGGCCACTGCCACCGCATCCGGGATGGCGGCAACTGCTCTAGCATTGGAGCTCCTACGGCCTGGGCAGCACATCCTCGTGATGAGGGGCCTCTATGGTGGAACACATCGATTGTTTGAGAAGGTTCGAAGCTTCTCCATGAACTTGCACTTCACATTCTTGGATCTCAACGATGTAAAGAGCGTTTGTGACCAGATCCGTGAGGACACTGGTATGATTTGGGTCGAAACACCGACAAACCCGTTGCTTGCGCTGGTGGACATCCCACGCCTAGTGGAGGCTGTTGCTGCAGCGCGACAGGGGAAAGGCGAGCGAATTCTCATCTGTGCAGACAACACTTTCGCCACGGCATGGAATCAGCAACCACTCAAGATGGGCGTAGATATTGTGATGCTGTCGGCCAGCAAATATATCGGCGGCCATTCCGACATGACCGGAGGCGCCTTGGTCACTGCAGACAAGACTTTGGCAGACAGGCTGGGTGCGTTAGCGAAGAGTGTGGGTGCCATCGCTAGCCCCTTCGAAGCCTATTTGGCATTGCGAGGGATGAAGACATTGGCCGTGCGGATGGAGAGGCATTGTGGCAACGCGCAGAGGTTGGCAGAGTTCTTGTCGCAGCATCCGCAGATCTCGGAGGTGCATTACCCAGGTTTACCCAGCCATCCGCAGCATTCGCTTTGCAAAAAGCAGATGCGCACTGGTGGAGCTGTAGTGACTGTCCGGCTCAAAGGTGCAAGCAGTGGTGGTGAAACAGACTTGGATGTAATGAAGAGGTTCTTCAGCAAGTTACGCATTTGGGTGCTGGCAGAGTCCCTTGGAGGGGTCGAGAGCATGATCAACCATAGTGCAACCATGTCACATGGCTCAATGACCAAGGAGCAACGAGCAGAAGTGGGAGTCTACGACACCACCTTGCGCCTCAGCGTGGGCATTGAGGATGTCACTGACCTCATTGACGACCTCAATGAAGCCTTGAAATCATGAGCCTAGCGTGATCGTGACGCAGAGCTTGTAGTAGCAGAAAGAAGTGGGTGCATGACTGGATTCAATGCAAATCCATAAAGCATCTTGCAGTACCGAAGCTGTAGTTCAATGGCTTTGTTTGAAGCTTTTGCAGCAGTATACTGATACTGATACTGTTACTGTAGAAGTGGCATCTCTTGTGGCACAGCTTTCAGCCAGCTAAGCCTCTTGCGTGCCGAGGCCGACCTAGACGATCGTCGGAGCCTGAAGCACTAAACCAGTACGTTGACTGCTAGTGGTTGAAGTGATAGGCAGCCTTTGGTTGGGTCGCCCAGGTAAAGTCTCTCGCGTGGAAGGTGAGGCCAAGGCTATGGAGGTGGCCTGGAATGAGACTACTGAAGCGACTGGGCTGGGGTTGCACTGTAGAGACTTTTTGTAAATCCGGGATGTGCTGGCATGTCACCCAAAGACAAGACAACACCCGGCTCAAAGAAAGGCCATTATGATTCGTTTGGCATGGATGCGAGCTGTGGCCCAAGCTGCGTGCAGGTGAAAGGTCAGTTTGCTGAAACCAGTTCGCGGACTGGAGAGAATGCCTGGAACCAAGGGGATGAACCTCCTAGCCCTCTTGGAACCTCAAACACCAGCTCCATATATAATTCTCGATATAGTCTTGCGGTTTTGAGATAAGCTGCTGGCTGCCGAAGCGCCGTTCTCCGTGGGGGCTGGACAGGTTTGACTTCGTGGATGAATATTGAGTGAACCCTCTGATCATATACTGTCAATTGATTCATGTTCTAAGGACTGTACAGAATATAAATATATACTTGATTTAAGGACCAGAAAGTATGACAGGCCAATATCCCCGAGCATACCTGTGGCACTAGAGGGTTAGGTGTCTCAAAATAAACTCAGACAGGTCATAGGTCCATAGGTTCAGTGACGAGCCGCAGGTTACAGGTACTGTTGACAATCACACACTACAAGATGCTTTGCTTGACGGGTGTCCTCGGATGTCCTCCACCCCAGTCTTCTGTTAGGTACAAGAACTCTTCAAGCAACTGGGCGAGGCTTGGAGCACGCGGAGCACACATCCATTGTGTTCTCAACAAACCTTAGCAAGTACATGCAAGTACAGAAACATCATTTTGAAAGGCCACGTGTGGCTTAAAGATGCTGTTTGGGGAATGCCACGTCCATGGTTGTGGATGACGTGCATGATTGTAATTGACACGGATTGGCAAGTGCAGTTTTCAGCTGGTCAGCCCTTCGGCAGTGGTCTTCCTGGCCTCCAGGCATTGGCGCAGCGCAGGGGCACAGGTGGGGAGAAGAACACCTGACGCAGAAAAGATGCACAGGATTCTTTATTGCTTGTGAAATCGCGAAATCAGAGCCAAATCGGATTCTTTATTGCGAAATCAGAGCGTAAGCGGACACCAGTCACTATTCTTGATCACTTGTGCGACTCGTGCCTTGTAACCCATTAGCTCCGTGCCCATGTGGAACAGTTTGAGGTCCTGCCCGTGCCAAGGCAGGGACCTTGGGGACCTTGGGGAGCATGTTGATAGAACAACCTGCATAGGCTCCCGATGAAATTCTGAGGTGTATATAATCAGACATCTGTAGTTAAAGAACAAGTACTGTTCAATTTGACTGCGTTGCATCAGCCCAGGATCAGAGTTCACGTAACTGGGTTCCATGATTCCAAGGCGAAGCAGCCACTTGATGGTATAGTATAGTACATACAATAGCCCGCAACATCCTTTGGAGATGCCCTTTTGATTTTGAAGGCCGAGGAAGGTTTGCAGCTCGGCGCGCCAGAGCCACAGAGATTTTCAAGAGATCCTGCAGTCCGCTCAGTCGGTTCATCAACACGAGTACCCTTAGCCCTCAGGCAGCTCAGACTTGGCGACCAGATTGGGACCATGACTTCCGTTTAATTACCGTTTGTACTTCCTAACGTAACCGATCAAAACAGTCTTGACTCACTCCCAAGGTGATCGGGTTAGCGCTTAGTGCTAAAAGCCAAAGCAACATGCAGTGGTTTGTTGATGTTGGTTGTAGAGACTATCCGTAGCCTTCAGGTATTTGCATGCACTAGCTACTGTATATAGTGATTGTAGGCGAGACAAGCATTTGTCAATCTGGCCCAGGGTCGCAGAAGAGCGGAAGAAGGCCGCAGATGGGTGTAGCATTTGAGTGATTTGTGTGCGTGTATAAGTTTTGTAGAAGAACGATTGATTGGCAGACATAGTTGATCCAATATTTTGTTTTGACTGACGTAGTCTACCGCATGCCCTATTGTTTGTCCAACATCAGTATTCGCTGGTGAACGAGATAGGCCCCGACATAAACAAGATACTTGTTTGATGACACTAAACAGTCTAAACGAGATAGGGATCGTGCAATCTATAGTGATTTTGTGTCTGTGATATCCACCAGAACTGAAGAACTACTGTAAATCTTCAGCAGTTTTCTTGGGCCAACTGCTGACTCCAGGGCTGCCAGTGCTAGCGCTCCAAGTCGAGCAACGTTCCTACAGGCATGGGGAATGTGGAATGGACTGGAGGACTGGCAACAACCCTCCAAAACGAACTTAGTTAAAGTTCACTCCTTCCTTGTTTCGAAGCAGATCTTCAGCAATGCCCAGCGGTTTCAACATCCAACCTTTCGGCAAGTATTCAACTGCGAGCTTAAGAGAGTTGCGAAGGTAAAAGCAATGCAAATTCTTGAAGCGTGTAAGAATGCAATGTGTGTTCTTCAATCCTGTATCATTTTCCAGATTCTCGGGTCGAAGGCTTGTTACCAAACGCTCCAAGGAGCGGCATCCTTGTGCCAACACATCGACGTTTGGCAGCCCTCCGGCCCTCCCTTCTTGCATGACCGTCTTTGCAGCTGGCAGGTCCCCACAGATTTTGCTTGGAGATGTGTGGGGGAGAATGCCATGGCGAAAGCCACGGGCACAAGGCCCGTGGCATTTAGCATCAAGTTTGACCACGTTGCACTTGCCACCGGCTTGGTGCTCCTAACCAAGCTATGAATCTCAATGATAGGTCGAAAGGCACCACAAACATTTTTTTTTGTGCTCGCACTGCTCGGTAATGGTATTCAACACGGCAAAT